TTTTTTTTTCCTTGTTGTGAAAAACAGAAAAATATTCATAAGCAGATAACAGTCTCATTTTTAATAAAATAGAAAAATTTCTTATAGAAAATAATGCAATGTCAAGTATTTTATGAGTGTTTCTCTTTTCTTTTTTTTCTGTTTACATACAAACAGATTGTATTGATTTAAGTTGGTTACTGTTATTACTTTTCTTCTTTTGCTGCATTTTATTATTTATAAAAAAATAAATGGCTCAACATCTGTCAACGTTGGCTACTACGAGTAATGTAGGAGTGATAGTTAATAAATGGCAAACTTTTCGTAAAACAAATGAACCTTCATTAATTTTATCACAAGAAGAACAACGAATACAAAATTATTTAGAACGTCATCGTTTATTATCTCCAAAAGTTGAACGATGTCTACAAGAATTAGTTGAACGTGTATATAAATGTAATACATCATTTAATTTTGAATTACTTGCACCACCTTCATCTAATTTATCATCTTATTTTGTAAATGAAAATAAAGAATTTTATTTTGATTTTTATATTGTATGGAAAAATCATGGTAAAATTAAAATTGAAAGAGATTTATCATCAATATGTTGTAAAATAAAATATATTGATCGTTTAATACGATGGTCACGTGCTGAACAAGATCGTCTTTTAATATCAAATGTTGATAGAAAAAGATCACGTTTTTTAAATGGACGTGGTATACGTGATTTATTTTTTGAAACACTTCATAATGTATCTCCTGATTTAATACGTCTTGACTTTTTTGAACATCTTATCTATTTTGATTTAATCATACCTTTATTACCAGAAAAACTTATATGTCATGTAACACTTCTTCCATGTATACATTTATCACAAGAAAATGAAGTTTTACTTCCATTTGGTACACTTCGTTGGTATCCAAGATCACTTTTATCATCAAAAGAAAATTCTATATTAACTTTGTTTCAACAACCATTACACAATCTATCTATTCGTCGTTATATATCAGCAACCGATGTTATTGATGAATTATCAAAAATTACAAAACAAGATCAACAGGCATTTGCACGTGTTCGTACAATTATACATGAATTATTCTTAGAATGTACATTGGAACATGTTGATTGTATTGAACAAATTCAACGTCCTTTTGACAATGATCATGATAATACAAAAAAAGTTTTCTTTATACCACATCGATTAGATCGAAATTGTGATGTATTTCCAGCTGGACAATATTTATTGGATGATACAAAAGCTAAACGATTTTTTAGAGAATTCTTACGAACGAATATAAAAACTTCACATGATGATCACACAAATAATAATCAAACGATGCATTGATATTTACTTTATTTTATTTTAAAAAAATGATTTGAATGTAATTTGTTGAATAACCTTGAAATTATGACAATTAACAGATGCGTCATATTGCATAGCCGCGTTTTGCATCTCAATTTTCATTCACTCAATACATTGTATTAGAAAAAAACAGAATATACCACAAAATGTGACGTGAAAAGCTCTACAACTTACATAAGATCGTTTTTTTTATGGTTGCACTTTTTGCTTTCAAAGTGATCTAAATTTTGAGCGACCAAATTTCGATGCTTCGAAAAAGTCTTTTTTCAATACACGACCAATGCATTTTTTTTTCTTATTTACCGTCTAAAATGTTTTACTAAAAAAAAAAACAAAATAAATAAGCGAAATTCTGTGCGACCAATTTTTATCGTTGCGAAAAAATCTTTTTTTTTTCTACACAAATGAGAAATTCCTTTTTTTTTCTCTTCTTTCATCTTTTTATAGCCTAATATGTCTTCATAACAAAAAAAAATATACCACAAGATGGTGCATGAAAAGCTTTACAATTTACGCAGTAAAGTTTATTGTAACTGTTTTCAAAAAAAAAAAAAAAGTAAAATTCTGTACGATCAATTTTCACACGGTTGAAATTTTGTTCATTTTGAAAACAAAAAGTGCAACTATAGAAAAAAGCGGTCGTATGTAAATTGTAGAGCTTTTCATGCTACATCTTGTGATATATTTTTTTTTAATAAAGCGAATTAAATGCTGAAGAACTGACATGCAAAATACGGTCATTCAGTATGGCGCACTTGTTAAATAACTCTTATGCATCAACAACTCACTTTCTAATATTTTTCTTTAACAATTATTATCGAATAGGCTTTCATGATTGAAGCGAAGTTAAGTACACTAGTACAATCACAAATCTCTAAGTATTAGCTTACAGAGTAATTTAAAATTCTTGAACGTGATAATACAAAATATTTCAATGAACATGCAGCATAATATTCATCACCAAATTGTCATCTAGCTATGCTGCTACCTAAACAATATATAGCGACTTCAATAGTCTAAAAGAGTCAATGTCTTTATCGAATCTTTATTATAAAATAGCTAATCACCAAATGTGTTACAAAATAATATTTTTCAATCGTTTAGCATTACTCCGGAAAGGTAGCTGATCCGTAATTAGGGTTGCCATCTCATCCGCTTTTCCAGACGAGAAATTTTTGTATATATTTTTTTTTTTATTGAAAAATATTAAACAATAAATTGTGGTAGCTGTCGTCTATAGTCTATTATTGCTTGTATGACCCATACTAGTTTCTATCTCAGTAAGCAACAACAAGGTCGAAAGTGTTTTTTTTTCGAAAATAAGACATTAGTCTAATGGTTTTTGCAATTGAATATCAGTAGATTTAATAGGTGCAGACATATAATGCATTGATATATTTCATTATCGTACGAACATCTGTTATCACAAAAGAAATTGCTAATCGATGATCATTGAAGCAGTAAATATAACTACATTCAATAACGTGATGTGCTAAATAAAAAACAATTCCATCTTCTTTATGTATCATTTATTATGTTTTGAAATTTTAAGTATAAAGAAGCAACAAATTATTTACATTCATAGAAAT